CGGCGATAAGAATATGAGTCAGGGAAAAATAGAAAGAGAAGCAAAGAAGCATAACAAGGAATTACTTACTCAGCTATCTTTTTCTTCATAAAACCAAAAGAAGACTTTAAAGGAGGGACTATGGCAGCAAAGACGTCACCGCCACTCTGCGACAGGAGCGGCGTAGCCGGTACCGAAACCCCAGAAGAACTCAGCACCGGAGCCCCAGAGGAACTCGGTACCAGAATCCCAGAGGAACTCGGTACCGGAGCCCCGGAAGAACTTGTACCCGAAGACCGCTTACTACAAAGAGATCAAGACCAAAGTCAAAACAAAAAGAAGGTTTCAACTACAGGAAAGCAAAAAAATAACCCACCGACGAGTAACAAGGGCAGCATCATCGTCCTCTTCCTCCTCACTCTCGACCAAGGTTGCGAAAGCACCAGCTGAAAAAGGACAAAAGTACTTGGTTAAAGACAAAAGCAAAAAACAAAGGGACAGAGCGTATTAATATGCTCACCTAAGAGCATGCTAGCTACAACTGGAGTACCTGGATGAGTACTCGACTGGTAGGACTTCTTGACAGAAGACAAACCAGAAGAACTTCCAGCTCGCCCCCTCTTTCTGACACTGCGAGGGCCCCGAGGAACTGGACGAGGGACATACTCCACATATACATCAGAAACTATGGAAGAAACACCAGGAAACATTGTGGTGGTTTGAAACTTACTGGTAAAAGACGCCCCAGCAAGACTATCCCTAGTCCCCACAATGGCAGGGCAGACATTAAGGGGGATCAGATCAACAAAATTACGCCCCAATTCCTACGAAAAGAATAAAACAATAAGACAAGGAAGATTAAGCAAAAAATGGATACAACAAAAGAAATACAAAAAGTACCCGCACAAAGAAAAAACAACTTACAGCCGGAGGCGGGTTGTTTGCACGGTACTCAGAGACAGTAAGCGGGACGACGCTTGCTCCTTTCAGCATCTTCTGAAGACGCTCGAGTATCTCCTCGTCAGTCAACTCAAGGGCAGGGACCATGCGAGAAGGATCCTCAGCCCCAGAGTACTCGAAACCGAAGTTCTCTCGCTCCTTCAGAGGCTGAACACGACGGTGAAGAAAACTTGAGACGATACCAAAGCCGGTCAAGCCCTGCTATTTTAGAGTACTTATCCTCTCAAGAAATGGCTAGATCGCTTAGAGCTCGTCCGACGTTAGAGGGATCTTTTCCCAACGGTCATTAACCGAGGGACCAGATCTAGAATGAACAGCGAGAGGGGGAATCAAATTGGCGGCGTAAAACCAGTCGGCACGCCAATACCTCACAGAATCAACCAGGTCATAGTCAAAGAATTTGCTTTTGAGACCCTGGCGAAACTGAATCCCACAGCTTCCAAGAACATTGGTGTCTTCGCGGCGGGGTTGAGGCTTCAGACGAAAGAAGTGACGGAAGAGAGAAAGATAAGGAGGAATTCCAAGAAAAGTTTCACAAAGATGAACAAAAACAGAAAGATGAAGGACGACATTGGGAGTAAGATGGTTCAAACTAACCCCAAAATAACCGAGAAATTGACAAAGGAAGGCGGAAGCAGGAAGGCAAAGTCCAGCACGGATAAAGGAGACGAAAAGAATAATCTCACCAGGACCTAGAGCAGGGACTCGATGCTCGCCTGGAGCTCTCCATTCAGCAATGTCCTTACTCTGGATCAGACCATCGCTAACAAGCTCACGAAGCTGGTCTTCAGTCGTTGTCGGAGCCGGCCAAGCCTTCTGGGTAGCCCTCATGGCCACAAACTCTTGGTTCTCGATCACAGAAAGTGATGACTCCTCATCCACGAAGGCTGCCTGGGACTTGCTCGCGGCTTTCTTCCTACCCATGTACTAGCGAAAGCAAAAAGGCACTAAGAAAAGACGAGGCTAAGACGGCGGCGCTCAGATGACGGCGACAATGGTGGCGACGGATTTCTAAAAACTAGGGTTTCAAGGCAAAAGCGGAGCAGTAAAAAAGAAGAAGACGAAAGGCTTTTAAATAGATTTTACATCAGTAAAGCGTGGCCCACCAGGCCCATTAAAACACGGTGTGAGAACACAACGGTCCATTTACTGACACAGCTAAAATGACGGAAGGCACAAATCCACACAACGGTACAGTTCAACGGGCAGATTTCGGACTTATCCATCCAGCAAAATGGCAAACTTGTCACATTGCTACAAAAAGAACTCATCAGCCATGAAGCAACGAAAGGTTACCTCACAAGAAACATAACAACCCGGACCTTACAAAAAGAACTCAGGAATTTCATAAAGGGACGTCAGCAGAATAAAGAATGATAACTCAGAAGACAAGATTCTTTCTATTACAAATGACTTCAAAAGATACAAGATTACACATCTTAGAAGACCCAACGAACTCGGTACTACGACAAACAAGGTAGCAAAAAGGAACCCGGAAATAACTAGGCTCTAGAATGACTACATGTTCTAAATTGCTACTCAGTAGAACAAACCGCACTCGGCTATACTGTTTTCTTCAAAGGACGGACGCAGTGCATCCAAGGTGGAAATCAGTAGCACGGCGGGACAACATAGACTAGGGGAAGCCGGCAGGCATCTGTCTACCCAAGTCCGATGTGATACCAGATATGGTGTTGATCTGCACCGGACAGTCTCAAGACAGGCGGCGAAGATCAACCCAGAACTGCTAGATGAAGGAACGCACCCCACATCACAAGACTTCCTCCAACTACCGCCACGTACTTCCAAGTACAATACCACTGTGGGATTAGTCTACCTCTAATCCCTATCACAAGACCTCCTCCAGCTACGACAAGATGTACAAGAACTACAGAATACGCCCGGGGGCTGCTCTACTTCACAAACTATCATATTCATGGCTACGGAGATTTCAAGACCACACAACAAAATGCTCGATGAATCAAAACAGCATACCAGGAGGGTATTTATAGACCAAAGAAGCGGTGCACATGGACCAGGAGCATCAACAGAAGCAAAACTAACAAAGGACACAGTGAAAAGACAGAATTCAATGAAAGAGAACTCAGGCGTGAAGGAACAATACTCAACAACAAGCATATTCGGGAGAATATACCAACACTGTACAACCCATGAACAAAAGGCATTTGCACTCAACCATCACCATATAACTACACCTGACAACAGCAGACTCTATATCTGAAAGCAGCAGACTCTACATCTAAAAGCAGCAGACTCTACATCTGACAACAGCAGACTACCAGAGAATATGCCAAGATTCTGTATCCGAGTTCTTTTTGAAGAATGCTCGGGGGCTGTAACAGGGGAAGTTTTCAGTTCTTTAACAACTCAAATTCAAGACCCTCTAACTCTTTGTTCCAAATAGCAAGAGGCTCGGGGGCTACACTCAGTGAATACATTTTTTCTTCAAAAAAGCGCACATCACTTAAAAGACTTCTTCAAGACAAGAGTTGTAAAACAACATAGGATTCAAAACCCTCTAACTTTTTGTTCTAAATAGCAAGAGGCTCGGGAGCTACACTCAGTGAGTGCACTTTTTTCTTAAAAAAACGCACATCACCAAGAAGACTTATTCAAGACACTACTCTAAGACCTCACGATATATCAGAGTTCTTTTTTATAAAGAACCCGGGTATACTCGGCTACTTTTCGACGAAGGATCAGAGCAACTCCAAGACATGACCCTCCAGCTACTTGTTCCAAATAGCAAGAGGCTCGGGGGCTACACCCAGCTAGATGCGCTTTTTTCTTCAAAAAGGCACACACCACTCAAAGATCCCAGAAAGCACTACATGATTTTACTCAAGAAAGCACTCGGACGACACTTGTTTTTACTCGGCAAGACCTGAAGGAACAAGACGAGGCTTTCAGAGCTCAACCATGAAGTGCTCGGGGACTTGTCGATGCGGGACCCACGGGATACCCCGCAAGGAAGAGAGAAGATCTAGTCTAACTAGGTTTCCTTTCATGTAATCCTAGTAATAGTATTATTCTGTAAATCCTACTAGGAACTCTTATTGTAAACCGACTAGGACTCTGACCTCCTGACTGTATAAAGGAGGGCGGGGTTCCTAGCGGAAAGGACGACTTTTACAACTGTAAGAACACAACTCCACACAATCAATCCAACACAAGGCTAACGCCGACTAGACGTAAGGCTATTACTCGATCACGGTCGAGGGCCCGAACCAGGATAAATCGACCGTCTCTTGCGTTCACCGTCGAGTTCCGCATACGCTGAAGCCCGAACATACTGCCCCGGGGACCCCCGTGGCAGGCTATCGGTGGTAAAACATCAACAGATTCCTTATTGAATTTCTGAAATTTTTCACAAAGTCACGCGTTAACTTCGTGATATTTTCTACAATTTAATATAGAAAGGCTCAAAATCAACTAAGCATCGAGGGTGTAAGAAAAGAGTGCACCTTGCATACTGTATATTCCTTTCACTACCATTGTATGCAAGGTAAAGTATATCCAATAACTACCGGCAAAAGGCAAAGCATATCCAAAACTTCATTTTTTCATTTTTTTCTTCTTTGGCCTTTCCCTTTCCTTTGATTAACTTTTTTTTTGAAAATCGATTAATTTTTTTTTGTGGATTGCCATTGATGAACTTTTTTTTGAGCAACTAATTAACTTTTTTTAGAGGCCTTTGATTAACTTTCTTTTGTTTTCGGACATGGGCTCCACAGGCCCAACCAAGTAATGCAGGCCCACCACCACATCAGCAGCATAAAACGGCAACCCCTAACCGCCCGCACCTGAACCCACCGCGATCCCCATTCCATTCCCCCGCCGCCCGCCGCCTCCGAACCCCATCGCCCATCACTACGGCGACGACTATTGCCACAACCGCCGCCACCTTGACGCGTATGAGATTCTGATCTGAGGCTTCGATCTGAAGCCCGCCTCGATCCCACAGCCAGTCACCCACCGCCGTTCCACCGTCACGGTAGCGACCCCCACTCTCAGGCCGTAGCTGCGACCTCGCCGGCGCCATGCGACGCGGAGGCGGAGGCAGGGGAAGTGGAGGTAAAGGAGGGCGAGGAGTAGGAGGAGGTGGAGCGGGCTCCGGCCGCAGGGACGCGCGCCACGGCGGCGTCTCCTACCGCGACGACCGGGGTAGGCGCTCCGACTACCGCTCCCGCCGCACCCAGTCCCCGGACCGCCGCCCGCGCCGCCCCAGGGGCGAGGACAACGACGGCGACTGTAGCCCGCCCCGCGGCGGCCGCACCGGCTACGGCGACCGTAGCCCGCCCCGCGGCGGCCGCATCGGGTACGGCGACCGCAGCCCGCCCCGTGGCGGCCGCATCGGCTACGGCGACCGCAGCCCGCCCCGGCGGGAGCGCGCGGGCTACGGCGACCGCGACGCCCCGCCCCGCCGTGGGCATGCGCCGCACAAGGATGCCTTCGGCCCGCCGGGCGGCGATCGCCACGCCTCTCCCCGCGGGCGCAGGGAATACGGCGATAGCCGCGTCTCGCCCCGCGGGGCCAGGGACTACGAAAGGGCGCCCTACCGCGAGGAGCGCGACAGGCACGACTGCCCTGGCCGCGTTGCCGATCTCGGCCACGACTCCTCGCCGGCCTACATGCTCCCTGACCACCCTTCCGACCTGGGACGTCCGGCATCCCTGCGCGCCGGGAGGAAGGAAAGCGACTATTTTGGCGGCTCTGGCGACCGTAGCCTTCTCAAGGACGACTACCTTGGGGGCAGCCCTGGTACAATGAACATCGGAAAGGAGAACGAGTTCCTTGGCAACGGTGTTGTGACCCTCAGAATAAGTGCAACTGAAATGGGAAGGACAAGCGCCATGTACTCCCAGGACCGCAGGTTGTCGCCTCCACCACCTCTGTATCCCTCTGTGCCGCACGAGACTGGATTCTTGACAGGAGGATCTGCCATGAAGGCCAGTGATATTTATGGTGCGGGAAGCACCCAGCGGCTGCATGATGATGGCAATTTTAAGTACCACAAGAATGTCCCATACATTGAGAGGAGTAGAGATACTGAGAGGCATTATTCTGGCAGTAGGGACTTAGTTGTTGAGAAAGGTGGAGGTGCAGAAAGGTTTTATTCTGCTGATGATGTGCCTGCTGGGAGGATTAGAGAAATGGAGAGGCTTTACTCTAGTAGGGGTATGCTGGAGTCTGACCTGGTTCTTGGTGATCCTTCCTCATCCTTGCCTGCCAAGGACCACCATCCATACAGGATGTGCACTGAACCTGGCTACGAGACAAGCAACGGATACAACATGGATGGCCTTGGCAGGTCGTCTCATGACTCACTGGGGTATGGGAGTGGTCATCCTCATAGGTTATCAGGAAGTCCATTAGAGCATGGCAGTGGTCATGGTGATGAAACATTACTGGATATTGCAAGGCAGGCACACTCTAGGCATAGACCAAGAGCTGCATCCTTGGAGTATGATGGACATGATACATATACTGCATCAGAGAATATACGTGGGAATGTCCCACTGGATTCAAGGCACATATCGGGCTCAACATCTTTGAGAGGTCTCAGGGATGAAAGGATTAACGACAATCTGAGGTTATCCCATAGGACTAAAGAAGACAAGGGTAGCTTTGAAGCCATGCATCAGGACACAGATCACTTAATTCAACATCCTTATGACGGCGGTGCTTCTGTACAGTACCCAACAGCAAGGGGCTCCCCTGGAACTGAACCTATTGGAATTGTGAGGCGGGCAGCCCGTCAGCATGAGTTTGATTCCTTTGGTTACTCAAGTGACCAAGAAGCTTCCCTTATGGTTTCTAGGAAAAGATGCAGAAGTCCTGAATATCATGATCATGAGATAGATGTGTATCAAGCTGATCATGGGTTTGCAGGACATGAGCACTATGATGATGATATTGATGAATATGATCTACCCCCACCAAGAATGTCACGATATGACATGTTTGAGTTTGTTGATGATGAATATGATGCAAGACATGATGTGCCAACTAATGGTGATGTTTTCTCAAGGCTTGCTTTGCCACATGAAACCAATGGGGAATGGACTGATATGGATCGGGGGAACCATCCTCACTCTGACATCTTGGGTTATGGGTATTCAAAACACGTACCTATGTATCAGAGGCTGTCTAGACCCAATTCTCACTCACAATTTGGGGAAGCTCCCATGCATGGAAGAGGAAGAGGAAGAGGAAGAGGATTAGGAAGAGGAGGATTGACTAAGAGTGCAAAAAAGAGACTGAGAACTGCTCCTCATCAGTTCAATGGTGGGTACCCATCAGATAGAATGAATTTGTTAGGCCAAATAAATTTTCAAAGTCAGCAAAAGATGAACCTAATGGTTCTGAAGTAAAGCATGAAGATGCTCCAGAGTACGAGGATCCTCCTCTGCAGAAAGATCCACCAGAAGGTTCAGAGGAGTTCAGTAAACAGGTTGAGGAAGCATTTCTTAAGTACGCAAAGATATTAAATGAGAGTCCAGCTACGCAGAAGAAATACCGTGAGGCATCAAAAGGATCTTTGTCTTGCTCTGTCTGTCGCAGGTTTGTCTTTCTTTGCCTGCGAACTAAACAGTTCCTCCTATAACTTCGTTAGCAGTTGCCTACTTGCTGGGTATGGTGACTGGAATGGAGAAATCCAAGGAAAAGTGATGTCTTCTGTAGTAACATTAAAATGCACCTCATACAGTAGATAAGCTTTATAATTTAACCCTATAGTTTAGGTTAACATACCGAGTTATAATTGATATTTCTCTCTAGGAAATTGGCAGAATGTTATGTAGCTTTAGTGCCCATTCTGCCCCTCAAGGGTCTGCCGCCATAACTCTAGTTTTCTATTTACTCCCGCCTGGCTTTCGTCCACTAACACTACATCATCAGCGAACAACATACACTAAGGGATAACCCCTTGTATGTTCCTGGTAACCTCATCCATTACCAAGGCAAAGAGATACGGGCTTAAGGCTGACCCTTGATGAAGTCCAATTTTAATCGGGAAGTAATCTGTGTTACCATCGTTTGTTCGAACACTAGTCACAACATTGTTGTACATGTCCTTGATGAGGGTCACGTACTTTGATGGGACTTTATGTTTGTCCAAAGACCACCACATAACATTTCTTTTGATACATGCACTCTGTTTATTTTGCTTCTTTGTTTACTTCCTACAACAGTGTTGCGAGGAAGTTTCCAGACCTTGATGCACTGCTATCACATGCTTATGATACATGCAAGGCCGGTTTGAAGACAAAACACTTGGGGTTTCACAAAGCACTCTGTGTTCTGATGGGGTGGAATTGGCATGTTGCTCCAGACACATCTAAAGCCCATCACTCCATTCCATCTGAGGAAGTAAATGCCATGAGGGGAGACCTCATGCTGTGGCCTCCAGTTGTCGTGATACATAACAGCTCGACTGGTAATGAGGCAAAGGATACTGGTGCAAAGATTGTGTCCATAGAAGAAATTGAAGGTGTATTGGCAGGTTAGTTTTCACTGAGACTAAAAAGAACCTATCTGTGCAGCACCTAGTTAACATTTTGTTTGTCTGTATGGCAACTTAGGATAGTGGATAAATATGTGCTCATGTTGTCTTCTGTTATATTTCCTTAAGATATGTTATAATGAGATCAACTTATTCAGCAGCCTAATGTAGTCATACTCAGTTTGTTCCTTTGCAATTCTGGTAGTATTTTTGCAGAGCAAAATGAATGTTTTTGTCTATTATTGTTACAATTTTGTGGTGCAGAATAATTCTTAGAAGTATCCTCATGCTATATTTTGTTATTACTAGTATAAAATTTGTTTACGTTGTCTTACTCATCCAGACATTGGGGTACCGCCTGAGATGGCGAGGGTTAGCCATGGAATACCAGCCAATCAGAGCGTGTTCCTGGTGAAGTTCCAGCCGACGATATCCGGGTTTCAGGAAGCCATGAGAGTGCATACCCATTTCTCAAGCAGAAACCATGGCAAGGAAGAGTTCCAGCTGATGAGAGGCAGCAAAGGTAAGAAGGCTGCCTCTACTGAGAGCCTGGAGAAGGTGCTGTATGCCCATATTGGGGTCGTGGAAGACCTGGGACTTCTTGATGAGGGAACGAAGAAGAGATGCAAGGTCAGGAGCAAGAAGGAAATCGAGGCAAATGCAGATGCAACACTGAATTTAGAACCGTGAAGTTGCAAGCAAATTAGATTATAGGTTATTAGGTCTAGTACTAGGATCTGAACCGTTTAAAGTGGTCCTCCTTTTGCTTCATCATGCGGCTGCTTGCTTGTCCTTGTGGCTGTAACATAAAAAAAGGTCTAAATTTTGCTTTTGCCATCAAAGAGTGATGAAATTCCGTTGGCTTCTGTCTGGGAAAGGCCTGCCTCGGTGTGCATGGCAAAAACATTTTGTGGTGCCCAGTGGCTAAACGGAAGGTTTCACTCCTTAATGGCAAAAGCAGAATTTACTGGTCGAAGAACCTAGTTTACTATTTGTATATCGAATGGATCTTTATATATTAAGGCTGCCGTGCTATATGTATCGAACGGATCTTTATATTATGGAATCCCTTCTCTTTTTCAAGTTTTTGCTGCGTGAAGTTATGTAATTTGTTGAAGTGTCTGTAGGTTTGGTTGTTGGATATTTTAGATGAAGCTTGTCAGGTTGACATGTATGATGTATGCATAATTGCAACTGCAGGGAGTGAATTGCAGATACAGGGAGCGAATTTTCTCAGGTGTGCATCGATGAGAAAGACGTTGAAGATATGGTCAAAGAAGTTGAGTGTGGTTCTGCCTCAGAACTCAAGGCACGTACCAATATCTTGTGAAGCTCTGCATTTTTTAGAGGCTTACATATGGGGTGGAGGATGAGGGTAAGGGTACCCTCAAGCCATGCGCAGCATTGTTAGGTTATGCTGTGCTATATTGGAGGCAACCAGCTCATCAGCTTGAGTTTACTTGAACTGAGGACTTAATAAGTTTTGCTTCACTAAACTAGTAAATAGTTCTAGGCAACTGGCAATCTGGCAGAAGTTTCTTCAGAAGCTGGCCATGAAACAGGTCGATGGATTGAGTGTGCATCTATGTTGGCCTTTGCTGTGAACCGACATTATCTCCTGAGCAACATGCATCTCCTTGCAGATGTATTTTCTGGATGGTTTGGCTGGAAGAAAGGGCGGTTGAACACAACATGCTGTTCTGTTCATATTGTTTAGTACATCTATGTTAATTATATCAGGAGCAAGGAGATCGAAGCGAATAAACTACTCGGCTTACTAGTATCCGAAACTGCTCAAAGTTGTCTTCTTTTGCTTACGGCTGCTTGTCCGAGTAGCTGTAACGTCAAGATAGGGCAAGTTCTGCTTTTGACATGAACAAGTGATGAAATCCCTGATGAATTTTGGTTTCTCCTCACTGGGATCATTGATGCTGCGAAAACAAATTTTGCGTGCGTTTAGTAAAGGCAAAAGAAAAAAACACGGAATTGCCTCAGAGTCTATCCTACATTCCTACTGTATATGGAATAGTATGTATCCAATTAAGTTCGCTTGAACTTATCAAGCTAGCTTATCAGTTATGGTACAGTGTTTTTCTCTCACAGCAAATTTGCGAACGGTACTTTTCAGCCTGACTTTTCAGCAAAGCGAACATGACAGCCTTTATGCTCTTTTTTTTTTCTGTGAGCCGTCGTTGATCTTTAGTGTGCCTCCAACTATATATGCTAATACTATTTCTAACCTAGCAAATATAGAAAGTGAGACAATAGCAATTATATCATGCTATGAGAGAGAACATTACGAAATGTGCAAGACTCTCTGACTCCACGCTAGTCTCTTGTCTTTTCACACACACGCTAGTCTCATTTCACATGGACGCAAGCAGAGAGAAGCTGGTGGCGATTCATCTCCAAGGCATTATGGAAGAAGCTTTCCACATAATCTAGCTGATGTAACTTGTGCGAAAAGATACCAGTATTTTGAGAAGCGCGACGAGGAGGGCTGGGGGAGGGAAGCGAGACGAGGAGAGAATTGAGAAGCGCGGCGCGAGGTGGACGTGTCATCGTGGGATCACCTCGGATTGCCTATGCACACAGCTAGCTTTGATTGTTTGTGCTCTTTCTGCGTGTAGCCAGCTTTGGTGCTTGATCCGACTGGCCTTCTTAAAATTACTGTATGTATTGTTGCTAAGCAGCTGAGGTGACAGTAAATGGTTGGATGATGTTTCGAACGGCTGTGCAGATGTAACCCACTGCTGAACAACCCCAATCCTAGGCAAACTACGGCTGCCATAGAAAATTTAGCGAAGTAAAAATCGAAACTGCACTTGTGGCGAAGTTAACCTCCTTTTGCGGCTCATCATGTCAACGCCAAAAAAAAAAGAATCACCAATTGATGGTCGGTAGATAGATTAACTACTAATCGCAGTTTGTCAACACCTGGGCGGCTGCTGTAGTGACCATTGTTGCACTTTAACTGCCACCAAACAAGACGGCGCGAAAAAACCTGGCGGTAGTTAGAGTAAGACACCGCGTGGATTTTACGATGCTCGATTTGGAAAATACATCATCTGTAGATTGTGTATCCGGGATGTGCTGTCAAAATTCTTGTAGCAGACAGCAGTACTATGGACACCCGTTGTCTGTCTCTCGTTTCAAAACGAGAAGAGGGGAAGTGCACCTGCATCTATACGGCCTTGATCACTGTGCCCTGTCCTCTTGGGTCAGCAGCCGACCGTTGCCTCCTCCTGCGGAAGCCAATGCCATTCCCAGGCCATGTTTAGATTGCAAAAAATTTCAACCCGATGAATAGTAGCACTTTCGTCTTATTTGGTAAATATTATTTAATTGTGGACCAACTAAGCTCAAAAGATTCATCTCATGATTTCCAACTAAATTGTGCAATTAGTTATTTTTTTTACCTACATGCCCCAGCCCCGCCGCTGCTGACGGGTGTCCCTCGCGAGTGCGGCAATCATCTGGAAGTCAATCAGTAGTAAACTTCTGTTATTCAGTATCATTTTTAAATTAAAAAAAAATCAGTAAACTTCCCTGGCAACGTGTTCACATGTAGATTACCTTATTGCATTGCCTACTTTTGTCCGTTGTGGGAACCAATCTTTGACCATTTATTAGATGATTTTGCTCTTAACATTAACAAATTATCGTTTTGGCATATGCAGCTAATGACATCACATTACCAGAATTCCGGGGACCCATGGATGCCTTGTGTCAACAGTAGGCTGACTCGATCAGGTACCATTTTGAAACCTTTGTATGGTTTCATAAATCTTAATAACTGGGTGAGCAGAGATAGCCAAGGAATGGGTTTAAGCCAATACTCATAGGTTAAATGGCACTTTGGTCATTTGCAGAGTTGCCACCCTCAAATGGCTATCTCATGATAGAAGCAAATGGTCGTCTAAATCAACAACGGCTTTCTGTAAGTACCAGGACTGTTATTCTTGAGCAAATGTGTACTTATGGTTCTGAGTAGATACATTGCCATTGTCTTATATTAAAGTCCAGTGCCTTGTGAATCTTTGGTCCACCAATAAGTGATTTGGGTATTCTTGTTAGTGTACACTGTACTCAACGGAGCTGGCTTTCTTTAACAGTTTTGTTATGAAATCATGGAACTGGCAACAGGATAGAATTTGTCGAAAAAAAAGATTATTTCATTTGAGAAGCAGGAACTTAAAGTTTCCTACCTAAATAGAAAGCCTCTGTTGTCTAGGACCTGCCGAAACAGTCCGGAGTATTATCTTGACTATCCATATGTGCTATTATATGTTTCTTTGTAAATATATTTCTTCTCATCCTAACTTTTGAATGCTGGTGTGGTCCCTGTCCACTAGCTGTGATGCTAATCTTTTATATTTCTGAAGTTCTTGGAAGCTTCACTATGTTGAATAATTAACTCAGGTTTTTTAACGCAGATCTGTGATGCTGTTGCTGTGGCCAGCTTGCTTAATGCAACTCTTGTGATCCCAACATTTCATCTGAATAGCGTCTGGCGTGATCCTAGGTAATTATTATTTTTTAGATAATGGATAAAACAAATATCCGGCCTCTACATCCAAGGATGTACACAGCCCATTATTACAAAGTTTTGGATGAAAAAAAATGAGAAAGCCACAGTCTTATAGATCGATCAGGACGCTAGTTCAAACAATATAAATGTTTCCATCCTTTATTGGATATCTCTAAAGCAATAATTTCCAATTTCTTGCTCATCGTTGAGAGCGCGTCCTTGGCTGTCTCATCACGCTGCAGCTGGGCCCAAGAGCGTAACCAGTACGCTCCTCTGAAAATTACCTGCATAATAGAGTTAGATTTCATTTGATTAAAAACAACATCATTACGGCATCTCCAGATATCCCAAAACATGGCAGCCACCCCCACCCAAATCAAATTTCTAATCCTTTTATTTTGATTGGTCAACCAACTACCAAACATGTGGCTGATTGATCTAGGTTGGGTCAAACTAGTAGCAAAAAAGATAATCCTCCAAATCATTTTGGTAAGGGGACAGTCTAGGAACAAATATTGGATAGTTTCATTCTCATTACAGCAGATGCACTTTTGACTCCCCTTCTAATTTTTCTTAGCGAGGTTGTCTTTGGTTAAGACGACACCCCTTTGCAAGAATCAAAGAAAGATTTTAATTTTTAGAGGAATTTTTATCTTCCAGATCTTCCTATGACGAAAAGGTGTTTGTGTATCTATAAGATAGAGATACATTGAGCGGACAGAGAACAAACCTGATTTGGTTAAACTCCATCTGAAATAATCCGAACCTTCCACCAATGCGACATTTGAGATCCGTGCTACTAAACTAAGCCATTCTGTAAGTTTATTATCCATCAGAGCCCTTCTAAAAGAGATGTTTAGTGGGCTAGTAGTCATCACTTTTGAGACTGTTGCATGAGGTTCCCGCACTATATTATATAAAGATGGATATTTAACTTTCAGAGGCTTATCTCCTACCCATGTGTCGTCCCAAAATCTAGTGTTGGTTCCATCTTTAATATCGAATGAACCATTAGCCAGCACCTCATCTTTGATATGCATGAGGCCTCTCCAAAAATGAGAGTCATTGGGTTTGGCTGCCACCTGAGTTAGGCTCTTGGAGGTTAGGTATTTATTCCGTAAAAGAGATTGTCATATGCCTTCTGTGTTTAGAAGATTAACCAGCCATTTGGCTAGAAGGCATTTATTTTGCAATTGTAAATTTAGGATACCTAATCCTCCTTGGTCCTTTGGACGACAAAGGATGTCCCATCCGGCAAGGCGATATCTATGTTTATCTCGAGGAGCCTTGCCGTAAGAACCTTGATCTATAATGATCTAGGTTTTTAATGACCCCTTAGGGATCTCAAAGAAGGACATCATAAACATAGGTAGGTGCTTAAGGTGAATTAAGCAAAACTAGTCTACCCCCATATGACATGTATTTTGCTTTCCAACAAGAGAGTTTCATTTGAAACGATCTTCCACCTTTCTCCAATCGAGTTCGGGAGTTGTCTATGGTGCATTGGGATCCCTAGATATCCTGAAGGGTATTCCCCTGCGTTGCATCCAAAGAGACTAGTATAAAAGGATTCCATCTCTTTAGCAGCACCATAGCGAAGACTTCGCTCTTGTGGAAGTTGATCTTCAGCCCGGATAGCTGTTCAAAAGCGCAAAGCAACAGCTTTTGATTCTCGTGCTTGTTCGGGTCGTGATCAATAAAGATAATTGTGTCATCTACATATTGTAGTATGGACAAACCATCATCTATAAGGTGGGGACGACACCTCTTATCGACCATCGGCTTTTGCTCGTTAATCGGAAGAGCTAGCATATCAAACAACGATGTTGAATAAGATTGGTGACAATGGATCTCCTTATGCGAGTCCACGTTTGGTCTGGAAATAGGGTCCAACGTCCTCATTGACTTTGATTCCCACACTTCCTTCGGTGACCATAGTTTCAACCCATCGACACCATTTGGGGGAGAAACCTTTCATTTGTAGCGTTTGTTGTAGGAAAGACCACTTCACTTTGTCGTATGCCTTTTCAAAATCAATTTTGAAAATGACACCGTCTCTCTTTTTGGTGTGAAGTTCATGGATGGTTTCGTGTAAGATAACGACCCCTTCCATTATGTTCCTTCCTGGCATAAAGGCAGTCTGCGTTGGCCTCACCACCGTTTTAGCTACCATATTAAGCCTATTTGTGGCTACTTTAGTGAATATTTTAAAACTCACATTAAGAACACAAATTGGCCTATAATGCTGAATTTTTATGGTATTATTCACTTTTGGGATTAAGGTAATAATACCAAAATTTAGACTATAGAGATCAAGAGCCTCCCTATGCAGTTCAGCAAATAAGGGTAGAAGATCATCCTTGATGACTCCCCAGAACACCTGATAAAATTCTGCAGGAAAACCATCCGGCCCTGGAGCTTTATTATGCTCCATTTGGAAGACTGCCTCCCTCACTTCAGATTCAGTGAACGGGCTAATGAGGATGTTGTTTTCCTCCGGTGATACCTATGGGATATCCAGGTTTTGGTCTTCCCTAAGGGAGATATCGAAATTATCCGGCTGGCCAAATAGTTCTTTATAATAAGTCGTAATGTGACTTTTGAGATGATCATCACCGATCACAACACCTTGATCATTTTCAAGTTTATAGATATGTTGCTTGTGATGTTTCCCATTGGCGACTAGATGAAAGAACCGAGTATTAGCATCCCCTTCCAAGAGGGTTTTAACTTTGGCTCTCTCATACCATTTTAGTTCCTCTTCTCTCAGAAGGTTAACTAAACGTTCTTTTAGATAATGCTTCAGATTAATCTCTTGATCAGCTAAGGGAGAGATCTCAACTTTCTTATCAAGATTGTCTAAAAGAGCTAATGAGTCTTTTTTTTTTTCGATATGACCTCGCCAGTGTGTTTGGCCCAAATTTCTTAGATATTGTTGAGTCTCATGGATCTTGAATTGTTAACGTTCAAGAGGGGTTGACCTGAGCATGGAGATTGCCAAATATTTGCAACCATATCATAAAATCCATCTCGTATCAACCATCCCCTCTCAAATTTGAAAGGACGATTGTGAGTCTGGTGGGTTGAAGCACCTGTGTTAAGCACTAGGGGTGTGTGGTCTGAGATATGCCTATCCCTAGGTTCTACTGTTGTCAATGGGAACATGATTTCCCATTCCGTGCTAACGAGAACTCTATCTAACTTTTCAAAAGTTGGATTATCCCCTGGCCCCGCCCATGTGTATTGACGGCCTGCCATTGTGATCTCCTTAAGATCCAGAGATTCAACAATGACATTAAAAGATTTGGCCATTTAGGGTGAAGTCCTCGAACTCTTATCTTCCGGGCTTCGCATTATGTTGAAATCTCCTCCTATCATATATGGAAGGGTTTCTTTGGAGCACGTGTTGGCGAGTTCTATTAGGAAAGCACTCTTATTCGGAGTTGTCTTTGGCCCATACACCGTATATAGCACAAATTTGAAGTCATTTGATTTGACTCTTAGGGTGAATTTTACATAAAAATCTCCCTCAGTAATAGCTCCAATGTCAAAAACATTCAGGTCCACACCTAGCAGGATGCCCCTAGATCTACCGTGGGGTGCCATGGTGTGCCAAAGAAAATCATGTCCCCCACAAAGATTTTTGAGAACATGATCCGGGAACGAGTCCCGACCTGTTTCGGATAGAGCAATAAAATTAATTTGCTCTTCCTTAACTAATTCAGCCAAAAACCTATGCTTAGCCAAGTCTGCTAGACCTCTGCTATTCCAGAAAACTCCCTTCATTTTATAATAATTTTTGAGGGGGTCTTTGGCTTCTTGGGAAGTTTGCCATTAAAAGTATATTTGGCATTATTATATTTTTTCTTCCGTCGGAGTGGAGAGAGATCTATGATTTGATCATTCTCCTCCTCCAGCAAATTCTCATTTGGATTTCCACTGGCGTGGCTGAGAATTGCATCAATTAGGTCATCCTGCTCATCATCAGTCTTAAGATTGGGGAGTTTAGATTTAGCAGAACCTTTTTTTGTATTAGCACATAAAACTAACCTGTCTACCTTTAAGTTTTTGATTGAAACTACATCTGAGGTACCTAGGTTGATGCCTACCCTACCAAGGTTTGATAAAATTTTGGAATCTGGAAAGCTAGTGAAAGAGTTACCTGTGAATTCAAGGTTCTTCTTTGCTGCCAACCGTTCAGCCTTTTGTAGGGTATGGGCGTCCGCCAATGCCGCATTCCTAGAGCTGCGACGTGGTGCTTTGATGGGCGCTGCTATAACTACAGGCGCCAACTCCCCAACTGCCGAGGTAGAAGTATCCACGGATATGATCACTTTCTCTGTATAAGTCGCAGTCGGTGTCGCAGGTGGTGAGGCTTGATCTACAGCCGCCAGCAGCTCCGCCGGCCCTGCCATGGGCGTCGGTGAGGCCGGTGCAGCCGGTAGGAGGGCTCCAGCGTTGTCTGATCCCGCTGGGAAGTCCATGCCAGCTTGGGGGGTAGGTGCCGGTGAAGGACCCCCCGAGCCAGCTAGTGCCACTGCAACTCCAGGGTCTCCCACCGCAGTCATGGGAGACACGGGTGGGCTGTCTGGTCGGCTCAGAGCTTTGTCCTTGCGATCTTCAGCAATGTCCGGCGCTGGGGAGTGGCTGAGGGAGGCGCTGCCCTCGCCAACACCCTGCGCGGCCACTGGCAGCTCCGGAGGTGGAAGTATGCCACCCCTCTGCGTAGAAGCGTCAGGGAGCAGGCATAGGGGTTCGGTTGATGAAGCACCCCCCACGCCCACCCCCCCAACTGCCTTGTCCATCGCGGTTGCCGGAGTAGAGGACTCCCCGGCCAGTGGATCCACTATCGGGCTAGGATAGCCCGGCAGTGAGTCACCCGAGGTCGTTGCGGCCACGCCGGACTCCAGCGCGAGAAAGGGGGCAGTAGGTGATGTAGAGCCCCCCAACTCAGCATGATCTGTCGATGTCGCCGGCGAAGACAAGAAAACAGAAGAAGGATTGATTTTGTTAGGTGAATCAACAAGTTTATTATAATCAGCCAATTCTTCAACTGTCAGAGGAGAAAAGGTCTTCCTCTTATCCCCGTCTTCTGACTCTAGCATGACTCTGATACTGATCTCATTAATGAGCTGTGTGCATGCCAGATCTAGGGCCTCTTCCACCAAAGCAGCTTGCTTCTGAGGAGGCAAATTATGTGGAGGTGCTGATGTTTTGTCAGAAGCTTTAGTATTATTCTGTGGGTTTTGGGGATTATGAGCTTCCGCATCTTCCATCTCACGGTCGCCCCCATCAAGATCATCACCCAACAGACCATCATCCTCCGGATCAATTGGATCAATCTGTACAACTTCATCGGGCTTAAAAAGCAGGCGGTAAATACCACTGCCAACACAAACATCAGCAAACTTTGGGATCTTTTTCACATCAAAAACTGCCACCAGGATACGAACTTGTCCAGTCGCCCGAAGGTGTATCATATCCACCTTCTGTGTGGCCCCAATCATGGTCCGAACTGCCCAAAGTGGAAGAAAAGAACGAAGTGCCCTGGGTACCTTAGTAACTGTCACCCATACCTGCTCCAATAACCTTATGGGTTGAACATCATCAACGAACTCAGCAAATGCGATAGTGCCTTCTTTGTTCCTTGTTGTAAGTGTCCTGATAGCTATCATATGATCTAGCTCTTCCTTGCTTGGAAACAGGACAACAAAAGATTTTGCCCCCAGCTGTTGCGCCTCCCAATCCCAATGCACTGCCTAGCCAGTTCACCTTGTACCAAGTGAGCAGGGACATCACCTGATTCCATTGTAATGAGGGCTGCGATCGACTTTGAAAAGTGTCCACAATCTGATTGTTTCTTCTTTGCTGTATTTGGAAAAACCCATCCCATCCTCCGCAGCGGCACAGTAGGCGACCGTCGGTTTGGGGCCACGAAGTAGCGGACACCGATTTGTGTAATGTTCTTCGGTACAGATGGAGCACTCTCGTTTCTCAGCCGGTTCCTTCCGCTTCCTCTTGTTGTTGCCTTGTTCATCGACAACCACCCCAGTTCCACCGTTAAGGTGTGTGCCGACGCTAGGACGGCCACCGCAGTTGCCGGTCGGTCCCCCGTCGGCATCCTCCCGACCACGCTGCCACCGATGCGCCGATGGTAGTAGAGGACATCTCTTGCCCATGATCGCCGCTGTTGGCGGCTTGGGAATCCTCCCACGGCCTCGGCCCTCGGCAGCCGGCCGGGCTTGGGTGCATCCTCCGCCAGGTGGTGGAGGCGCCCACTTCGCCGCCCATGGTATCGGTTTTGATCGTCATGGCCGCGAACTCGGGAGTTGGCGCGGGGGCCTCGCCACAATCACGCCCACGATCGGAAGAGGCGCGCGCGGTGTGTGGCCGCTGGCTCCACCTCTTGCAGAATTCGCCGCCCGCCATTAGCACCTCCCGATAGGATGGAGGAGCGGCGATTTAACAGATTAGGGTTAATGAGTTTCTTCGCCGGACCACCGATGCTTCTCGCCCAATCGTTGTCGTATCGAGCGGATGGTGACGACGTTCGGGCGCGTCTTGGAACGCGTGCGGGTGGGTGGTGCGACCAGCGCAGCTAGTTGGGCGCTTCGGTCGGATGTGAATCGGTCGAACCCCACCTTGCCCGACGAGGGCGGTCGGTGTTGGTTCAAAATTTGAAACTCAAGAAACGGATCGCCGGCGTGGCCCTTCCTCGCAGCGAGCTTCAAGACCGGGAGGATGAAATCCCCAAGCCTCGTCTCCGGCGTGACTCGCGGCGGAGGCAGCGGACCCCTCCAAATCCGTCTCCATGGCGGCGCATACCTCCGTGGTGATGGATGAGGTGCTGGCGCCGCCGAAGAGCGTCCGGCCTTCTTGATCAGCGCGGAGTGGGGATCAGGAGGGGTCGTCGACGAAGTCCTGGTCGTCTTCCCCGGCTGCGGCGTGGAAGGAGTCGCTGCCGCCTTCTTTGGACCTGGCGGTCGCTGCCGCCTTCTGAGCGAAGCCTTGTGTTGCATGGTCCCTCTGGAGGACATAGGGCAGGGCTGATTTGATGATCCACCTGACCTCCTAGGTAATTATTTGTCTGATTATTACTTTGTTTCCTTGCAATGATTGAACACACTTGTAATTTATGATTCCTGTCTTTTTGTCTGAAGCAATTTGTCTCAGTTCTAAACATTAAATTGGAAATTTAAACATTCTGATTTGAGAATGATCATTGGTATTGCTTCTGCACTTCTTATCAAGCAGTTTCATGAGGATATAGATGTTGTCATCTGACCTGATGTATTTCTTTCAGCAAATTTGGTGATATATTTGATGAAGATCATTTCATTGAGTCACTCAAAGAACATGTAAGGGTTGTGAAGAAACTTCCTGAAGATGTTTTGCTGCGCTTCAATCATAATATCAGCAGCATACCAAATATGAGAACTAAAGCCTACTCATCTCCAAACCACTATGTGCAAAATGTTCTTCCAAAACTGCTGGAGTTAGGGTACGAAAAACACCCCGTACCCAACCTGGAAAAAAAATAAAGAGAGCTTGATTTAGCTGGGGCAAAGCCAAAGCATGAGTTTCATTTTATTTTCTGTTCTTTGCAGGGTTGTGCGCATAGCCCCATTCTCAAACAGATTCGCCCAGTCAGTTCCATTGAACATCCAGGCCTTGAGGTGTTTGGTAAACTACCATGCATTAAGATTTGCTGAACCCATAAGAACTCTCTCAGATGACTTGGTTGGTCGAATGACAGAAAAGAGTTTGTTGAATGGTGGGAAGTATGTCTCAGTGCATCTTCGCTTTGAAGAGGTTTCAAGTCTCTCTTATGCATTCACAATTATGACTTTTTTTTTTCCATCCTACTAATACGGTGTATGTTTCAGGATATGGTAGCCTTTTCATGTTGTACATATGATGGTGGCTGGAGGGAGAAAACAGAAATGGACAATGCTCGTGAAAGGAGCTGGAGAGGGAAGTTTCGTCGGCATGGTCGAGTGATAAACCCTGAGGCAAACAGAAGGGATGGAAAGTGTCCTCTTACTCCTTTAGAGGTTAGCACCTCCTATTTCCTTTTTGTATTTGTCTTTGTCTACTACAAACACATTTTGAGTCTAGGCCTCTTAGGCTGTACTGCCATAGTACATCAGCTCATGGGAGTCAAGCATTTTTTATGTTGGACAGACAGTTGCTTCGTATGCACTGAATCATGCAGTTAGTATTTCAAAGTTATTCCTTTAAAATTGTTATAGCCTTGGTTACTGCATTTCCCCCTGCTTTTTGTATTCAGTTAACAAGTCAGTTTAGTTGGTTAAGCTTCAGGTTATCACTGTGGAAGTTGCGTTTTAAAAAAACATTTCAATATGTAAAAGGGGTTTACTGGAGATGATATATGTCCTCACTAAATGAATTTATGCAGGTTGGCATGATGCTACGGGGCATGGGATTTGACGATACAACCTCCCTATATGTTGCTTCCGGTAAAATATACAACTCTGAAAAATATATGGCTCCTCTTCGCCAGATGTTCCCTCTTTTAACGACGAAAGGATTTGTAACAACCCAAAATTTGCAAACACCAAAAATACCAACTATCATAAATTTTCTGAATAAACCCATGATTGGCGTATGACATGCTAGGAAGCCCACCTAGTTGCACCAGTAGACCCTATGTTAGTGTTTGGAAGCATATGCATTGCAATCAACATATGATTTGGCTCTTTTTGATTTTATGTGATGTCAATAAAATCAATCAAGACCCATAACTAAAAATCAATTAACATACAAGAATATATAACGGTTAACCAAAACTTGTGTAGCCAACCTTGGCTTTGGAGTCCCCAAACCCTAATGACCCTTAGTGGACCCCACTAGAATATATTCATGCTTGGCAATACAAGTATACACTCATAAAGACCTAAGGTATAATTAGAATGGAAAAGTAGAAATAGAAAATACTTAGAAAAGACGAGAAAAAGGAAAAGGCTAAACCAGCCCAGGCAACCGACCAGCCCAACCCTTCACCTCTCCCCCTCTGCTGGCCCACGCACGGCCGCAAGCAGGCCTGGCCTGACCGCGCGCGGCCCACGCAGCCAGCCCGCATCGCCCCACGCCAACACTTTCTTCCCACGCTGGCTGACGGGTGGACCCCGACGTCATCCCCCTCCTCCGGTCCCCCCCTCTCCTCTGTTTTGCGCCCAAAAGCAGAGCACCGGCTCATGGGAAGGATCCCAAGCCCCAGCGCCACTCTCCGCCGTCCGTGCCCTCGCAACCGACTGCGAGACCGCGTTGGATGGGTGCCACGCTGGCACCGGTTGCCCGACAGGGTCACGCACAATGCATAACCTCTGCCGCGCGACCTGCTCGCCATGGCCATGCCATGCTCTTGGCCCCTCCCTGTCCCCCGCCTTTCTGACCAAAGAGCGCGAATTCGATTTCGCCATCGCACCCACGATCGCGTCACGACCCTGAAGCCCTAGCCTCGACGCGATCACAACCCTCCGCGCGCCCCTTGGCCATCTCCAGCCGCTCGTCCATGCCGTGGCCGAGTTTCGGCTATAAAAGCCCTAGCCCCGGGAGCCCCCGAGCTCTCTCAACGCCCCACCGCCACTTTGTGGCCGTCCACTGTGCACCCAAGCCAAGAGAGCAGAGGGAGAAGAGGAAGAAGAAGGGGGCAGTGCCGAAGCCGTGCGGCGCCGCCGGTGTCGCCGGAGCGGAGGACGTCACCCCGATCAAGCACGTCGACGCTGCTGCTCGGCACGGCACAGCATCGACTCAACACGGCCACGACCCGCCACTGCACCGCCATCCTATCTTCCACAATACCGACGGTGAGCTTCTCGCCGCTGAGACCTCCTCCTAAGCCCCCTGGACACGAGCACGCACGCGAGCACGCACGGGCGCACACCACAGCCACGCGCACGGCCGTGGCGAAGCCACCGCGGCCGCATCACCGCAGTAGAAGTGACGCCACCGCCTTGGCTGGCTCCTTCTCGCCGCGGAAAACACCACGCTTGCGATCAAGGTAGACGAAGGCCACCGGCCGAAAGACCACACCACGCCTCGGCCGGAGCGCCGCCGCCATCGTGTCGACTCCGCCGTGGCCAGGACCGCTGGGAGCGCCTGACGCCTCCCTATCTCGCCTGCCCTGTTCACTGGAGCCACGGGAAGCTCACGCACCCCGCCAAGCATGCTCCCGGCCACCACTACAGCCCTGTCCAAGCCACACCGACGAGCACCGCCACGCCGAGCCACCGTTCGCCGTGGCCAGAACCCTGGAAAGCCCTAGCCACCACCTAGACCCCACCACCGTGTTCGCTGAAGCCTGGTGAAGCGTTCCCCCACCTTAATTGGACGCTAGCGCCTACGGCAAGGCTCGCCGACGAGGCACGCCGCCACCGGGAGCACACCGCTCGGAGAGGGAGGGAAATTTCTTCCCTGGACCGCACACGCACATGCACCCGGCGCACGTGGACCACAGAGGGAGAGAGGAGAAGAGTGGACGCGGTTCACCGGAAGGAGAGGCGGTCCACCGTAGACCGGCGCATGCGTCCACCGTGGACCGCGAGCCGTAGACCATAGCCCAGTGGAGGCCCAAGGTCGTGACGTGGCTGCGTCACAGCATGCCACGTGGCGGGCTGAGCCCGGCCCAAGTCCAGCCCTGTCCAAGCCCACCAAAGACCAGTTGAGGCCCAATCCGGTTGACCGTTGACCGGTCAACATTGACCGTTAACCAGGGTCCACATGTCAGCGACACTGAGCCGCTGGACCCACTTGTCAGTAGGTGATGTCGTGATGACGTCATGCGGGACCCACACGTCAGAAGCCGACACATCCGGGGGTGACATCATGATGATGTCACGGTGACGTCAGCTGCTGACGTCAGCAGACCTGGGCCACCTGTCTGTGACTATGATCCGATGACCGTTGACTCACCGTTGACTTAACGTTGACTTTGACCGGACCCACATGTCAGTGACCCAAGAGCCTCTGGCCCCACCTGTCGGAATGGATGACGTTGATGACGTCATGCTGCCACGTGGACCAGTCACAGCGTGACACGTGTCAGCCCAGGATTAATTTAGCCTTTTCCATTTTTAGAAATGATTTAAACTTCGAAAATTCATAACTAATTCATATGACCTCAGAAAAAATACGAAACCTGGACCAAAATTCATCTAAAATCAAGCTCTACGCAAAGAACCCATGTTTGAGTGCATTTGGCTCTTTTGAATTTTTATTGCTTCTTTGTGCTATTCTATAGACGTCGCTAACGCGACTATAATGCGATCGTTTGCAGACTCGGAGGAGAACCAGACGGACGAGGATCGTGAGTACCGTGAGGAGTACGGAGACGACTACACTAAAGGTGCCACATCCCACCCAATCTCGTAGCACCTATTACGTATGGCTAAAATAGAAATGCTAGTGCTTTACTTTATTGTTATAATCATACTATGATAGGACTTGCATGGTAGTATGCTTTTTTTATGGCCTTCACCTTGACGCAACCTTACCCCTGCTCACCCTGCTATTAGGCTAGTCACACGCTTGCTACTATATTTCATTGCTTATTACTTCTACTACGCTTGCACTACATTGATGCGTGGTGAAAACTGGAGTTATCTAGACTATGGGGAGAGTGTTGCGTGTGTGACTTGGGTGCGTGGAGGGTGAGGGTTGTGTCGACCAAGTTGGAGTATACGACGAGCCTGTGGCAAGTCTTGCCGTGGGGTGCTACCTGGGCACCCCTGGAATGGATACCTGTGGTGGGTAAATGGTATATGAGGTGGCCCTGGTTGTGAACCTGTGATGGGAGGAGCCCAGGGTGGAGGTGTTGTGGTGGCACGGTAAATGGAAACCCTGATGAAGACATTCTAGCTTGGTCATCCCTAAGGACTTACTAGTACTCAGATTCACCGGGAAGCCTTACGTACCACTCGCCCTATATGGTGCGGGACGGCCGGACTACTTGGTAGGATATTGCCACTACTGCTAGGTTGATAGCGGACAATGTAAGGAGGTACGGGGCGCGGAGGATTTCCCCCACACCCTTCCGAGACTTCATAGAGACCTTGTGGACCCGGCTCATGACTCACAGTTTCAGCCACCCCAGACTGGACTTGGGGTGTACCAGGGCTGAATGGTAGAGTGGCATTATCCTAGGCTAAGAAGCGGCCGGAATCAGCCCAGTTGACAACGGTCAGCGAGGAAGGCGGATCTTGTGGTTATGTAAAACCTCTGCAGAGTATATGGTTGATCGATCGATACATATGCCGACTTGTCGGCTATGGACCTTTCCTGGGTTTCGCTTAAACTAGATAGTGAGAGGAGTCCTTCTTTTCTCCCCATGGGAGTGAGTGTTCGGACGTAGTCAGGGGCTACGGGCCTTGAGACAGTGCCGAGAGGGAGTTGGCCTGTCGACTGAGTGATGGTATGGGTGTGGTATGGTGATGGTGTGGAGATGGTGGTATATCGATCCCAGGATCGAAACCTGGCTCCGGAACGGAAATGGGGTGGAATGGGTGTGGGAATGATATTAAAACTTGACCAACAATTAATATGTACTTGATAAGCTAATACATAGGAAACCCCAGTCTTATAGGTTCCTTTTGATTATATCCAACTTGCATTCAATTTTCACAAAGCAATGCTCATAGGGTGGGAGTGGCCAGTACAAATCGTACTGATAAATTTTGACACACAGGTTCTGCTGAGGAGTATAGCTCTGAGGAGTTTGACGGTTGAGGGGTTCGTTCCTACGCTCGAGTTTGGCGATGTTATCTTCAAGCTGTTCTGAATGAATGCTACTTTTGATTCCGCCAATGCAGCGATGCAATAATTTATGTAATTCCGCATTATTTGTACTCTGATATTATCGTTATATGGATGTGATATTCGACTAGAATTTGGGTAATATGATCTACAACGGTCTTATTACACTTCGACTATGTGGATTTTCCTTCGCGGAAATCAGGTCGCTTCAGGATTCTCTTGCTTCGCCTGAAGAACTTGCTCAGTTCAAGGTATTTCTTGCACCAGCACTCTGAAGTCCTTTTAATATTGAACAAAATATGCATGTATGATGGTGTTACATTTACTAATATATATTTGGAACCATTTGATGTTCAAAAGTATCTGTTTTGGTTGAGACAGAAGGTAGATTAAATACTGCTGTTTTATTTGATGAATTATGTGATCCAACTCACCTACCAATTCTCTATAGGGGCACTCGTCTCAGCTAGCAGCATTAGATTACACTGTCTGCGTTCAGAGCGAAGTGTTTGTGACAACTCAAGGGGGGAACTTCCCTCACTTTCTGATGGGGCACAGGCGCTACCAGTTTGGGGGGAATGCGAAGACAATAAAACCAGACAAGCGGAAGCTGGTCTTATCTTTTGATGATCCCAATATCAGGTCAGTTTGAGCAGTTATCTTAAATTTATTTAGTAACTGTATGCAATCATACACGTTATCAGCAGTGGCGGAGCTCGCAACAAAACGTAGGGGGGCCATTTTGCTAATTATGAATCTAATATGTATACTTATTTCCGTCTAAAAAAAGATGCAATTTTAGGTTTGGTCGAAATCAAATTGTCTTAAGTTTTGACTAAGTTTATATTCCATCCATTCCAAATTATAAGACATTTTAAATTTTCTTAGATACATTACTTTTGTTATGCATCTATACCCAGTGTATATCTAAATACATAGCAAAAACAATGTATTTAAAAAGACAAAACATCTTATAATTTGGTACGGAGGGAGTAATAGTATCAAAATTTATGACTTCATATAGATATATTATTATGAACATAGCTGCATGACGAATCTAATGCTACCTATTTAGTAGGATGAATATTAGCACTTTTAATATAAATTTGGGTTAAACTTAACATACTTTGCAGTGTAGTAGTACACCAAATCAGCACTCGTCAGGATAAGTCCGATTGCAAATTTGGGACTAGAGAGCATGGCAGCCGGCCTGTCGAGCTCCAAGCCAGCAACGTGAGTTTGAAAGTCACGCGCATGTCCATACACTGGGCAAGGAGCCATTGTATGTGCATGCTGCTATAGTTAATAGTTCTTCCGCGGCCAAGATCAAGAGAGAAGTGCACCATGTAACGTTTGGGACTCCAGACTATCTATTGAATCGCTAGAAGTTTTTCTGGACCAAGGGGGGGCCACAGCCCAGGTTGGCCGAGCTTGAGCTCCGCCAGTGGTTATCAGTAACTGTAAAGCTGTCAGTCTGTCACTTGTTGCTAGTTACAGTCAAATCACACAGAATAATTTTCATCTTTGATTCCATTCAGATAATAATTCTTTACTAAAGCAACTGCTTAAAACAATATGTTTTGACCAATGGTCCAATTAGTCTGTTGTTCCTGTTATTACCTAACAACTGCTTTAATGAATATATCTTTCCACCCATCCTTACATACTTTTCTGAATGTATAGTCCAGTCAACAAATTGTAGTGTACCTCTGATTTGGCGTTCAATTTTATGGCTTGATAGGTGATCTTTGTTGTGGCATAATTTGTTTAGAAGCGTTTTATTTAAATGTTTTTTTAAATCCTTTTGAAATTTCAGATGGGATCAGTTCAAGCAGAACATGCAGGAAATACTGCATCACAGCGACATGAAGAGCATTGCATTCAGGAAACCAAACGATTCGGTGTACACATTCCCAATGCCTGATTGCATGTGTCAGCAAGATGGGATGATATAGGCCTGACAGCATAAATACGAGGCAAATCCTTTTGTGTTTTGGTTTTGAGACTAATACCACACAGATAGGTTGGCGTAGGCAGGTATCTTGTACATTCATAACCTGTAGGTAGTGTCACCATATGCTAGCAAGATTGACCAGGGATTCGCTGATTCATGTTGGTTCCACTATTCTAGGGTGGTCTGTAGAGGAGATACAGTTGGGGGTTGGGTTGGGCCGTGGATGTTAAATTCCAGCACACTTGACTTGAGAGAGGGCTTCTGACAAAGTGAGACCTTCTTGATTGTATATGTAAAGGGGACGCCTAACTACAAAGGGAAACAAAAACTTACTGATATAATATACCATGGAATTTACTTATTCTTACATTACACTTCATCTTGTTCCTGGAATCTTGGCAGTTCCCTGTTTTGTTTCTGCAGATGCTGCTCTTGGGCAACGGCTCATCATATTAACTTGAGTAATTGTTGTTATATTTCACGGTACAGGATTCTGTATTGTACTGCTGCTTCCTAGTTTTGAGACAAGTGGATGAATTTTCGTTATGAAAATTCTGAGGTTTCCCCTCCACGTCTTATATATAGCCATAGGTATCAATTCAATAGAGGAGGGGGAGGAAACAAACTGTCTTTTCTCTGAATGACATCGTCTTCCCTCTGCACTCCGCAGACATATTACGTTTATCCCGTCTGATGTAAATTCAGACACTTTGAGGCCATAAGAGCTGCCATCTGCACTCAATTTGAACCGAAAGTACATACAGACCGTAGAATTTGCTTCAATCTGAAGACACGGGAACCGCCAACACATCTCATATGCCATTTTTTTTTGAAGAACAACAGAAACATACCAAGATGAGAGGTGGAAAATCTAATACAAATGTAGAAGTTTGAAAGCTTCAACGAGTTTGGTATAGCACAAAACGTCAAAACTAAAAATGATCCGCGAGCGCAATAGATGAATGATATGACAATACACAGCAGTAGAGTCCACGACGAGATGTGCGGCCGAACTCACTGACCCTCCTCGTTCCGTCCAAGTCCAACCACCCTTTTCGCAGAACAGGGTTCAGACCAGGGGAGACGGATCTCAAGTTCACCATGTTTTCATTTTTATCTCCTCTACCTTAATGCGAATTCCAAGTGTTGACAGTTCATTAAATCTCGTTTCTTTGTTCTGCTTTCAAAGGAGTTGGGAGGCTCTGGAGCTGCGATCAGCCAACCATGATCAGCTGCCGGCTGCCGCGACGACGACGAGGCCCAATGCAATCTGTGTCCATCCACACCTTGACTTGCAGAGCTGCAGCAGTTGCTGCTCCTCATGGGTGCAGCAAGTGCAATTCAATGCCTGCCAGGAGTCAGATCTGGAGGAGGAGAACCCAGCATCTCCATGTGCTCCCAATCCAACATCAATAGATATAGGATCAGGTAGTATATTACTCTGCTGCTACAAGAAGAAGGTGGTGGTGGTTCTGGTTCAGTTGAGCCCATGTCCCATTGCCTCCGTCGCTGCCAGCTCAGCGGCTTTTCCGACTTACTTGTTCTTGCACTTGATCAAGCATTTTGCTTGGAAAAGAAATCTTGTGTTCCGCAGTCTATGGTCTCCGACCGAGATCCCAACTTCACGTCAGCATTCTGGCGCGAACTCATGCGGCTGACGGGCACCAAGCTCCATATGACGTCGGCGTTCCACCCACAAGCGGACGGACAGACAGAGGCCGCGAACAAGATCATCGTCATGTACCTCCGCTGCCTCACCGGTGATCGTCCTCGACAATGGGTACGTTGGCTCCCATGGGCAGAGTTCATCTACAACACGGCGTTCCAGACAGCGCTCAAGGTCACGCCCTTCAAGATCGTCTACGGCCGTGACCTGCCCACGATCCGTTCCTACGAGCCCGGCGACACCAGGGTTGCAGCCGTGGCCAAGTCCATGACGGAACGTGATGAGCTGCTCACCGACATCCGCTACCGGCTTCAGCAGGCTCAGGCGGTGTACAAGGCCTACTACGACAAGCACCACAGGGAGGTCCACTACGCCGTCGGCGACTGGGTCTGGCTCCGCCTCCGTCAGCGTGCCGCAGCGTCCCTCCAAGCTCCGACCACGGGCAAACTTAAACCCCGCTTCTACGGGCCGTACCGAGTCACCGCCGTCATCAACGACGTCGCCTACCGCCTGGAGCTGCCGGATAGCGCCCGCCTTCACGACGTCTTCCACGTCGGCCTCCTGAAGAAGTTCGTCGGCACGCCCCCGACGTCGCCACCGGCGCTACCACCGATCCACCACGGCGCGGCGGTTCCGGAGCCCGACCGCGTCACGCGCGCTCGCCTTAACCGTGGCGTTCGCCAGCTGCTCGTTCACTGGAAGGGCGAACCCGCTTCATCAGCATCATGGGAAGACCTCGACAGCTTCGTCGCCCGCTACCCCACATTCTAGCTCGAGGACGAGCTGCTCGTCGAGGGGGGGAGAGATGTCATGTGGGGCGTCCAGTACCGACGCCAGCCACGCATCTAGGAGCTGATTTAGGCATGCAGCCATGAATCAGATAATGCTAGAATCAGATATTTCTAGAATAAAGGAGTTTGTTTCCTTTTTATTAGCTGGCCACGGGCCTATATAATCCATGTAATTGGCACTCTGGGAATTAAGCAAGAATTACCAATTATAATCCTCTCTCTTCTTCCCAATCTCACCTCCTTCACCATTGGACAGTCGGGCAACAACCCCGACGCCATTATCAGGCAAGGCTACGAGCTCCGTAGCCGAGGACCCGCTGTCTTGGGCATTGACACCCTTGACAACCTGGTATCACGGTCCAGGCATTCCTCTCCCAGCCGCCCACCATCGCCGCCACAGTCGTCCCGCCCTTCCTCTACGTCGCCCACCCCACGCCGCATACACGCCATGGGGGACAACACTGTGAACCACGCCAACAACGCCGCCTTGCAGGCGACCTTGGATTCCCTGGTCGCGTCCATCAGGACGCTCCAGACGGCCGTGGAGGCCAACATCCAGGCCATTCATCGCCTGGACGCCGCGCGCCCACCACCGGGCGGTGGGTCATCCTCCTCACACTCCGGGACGGGGGAGCACCACCAAGATCGGCCGCCACGTTTCCAAAAGCTCGACTTCCCGTGCTATGATGGCAAGTCTGACCCGCTAATCCTCATCAACCGGTGCAAATCCTATTTCCACCAGCAACGGATCATGGAGGAAGAGAAGGTGTGGATGGCTTCCTACAACTTGGAGGAGGGCGCCCAGCTGTGGTACATCCAGGTCCAGGCAGACGAGGGCATCCCCTCATGGCGCCACTTCAAGGATCTTCTCCATCTCCGCTATGGACCACCGCTGCGCTCCAATCCCCTCCATGAATTGGCCTCGTGCAAGTGCACCGGCACTGTTGAGGAGTACCAGGAACGTTTTCAAGCGCTCCTCCCTTGTGCCGGGTGACTCGATGAGGAACAGCGCGTCCAGCTCTTCACCGGGGGCCTCCAGCCGCCTCTTAGCCTCGACGTCGAGGTCCACAACCCTCAGTTCCTCGCTGTCGCCATGAGCCTTGCCCGCAAGTTGGAGCTCCGCGAGCAGTGTGCCGCGGCGGCCGCGCCATCACCACGGCTAGGGCGTGATCACCAAAGGGGCCTCCTGCCGGCGCCACCACCCCGTCTGGCGCTCCCAACGCCCAACACGGCGCCCGCACCAGCGCCACAGCCGATCACCGTCGAGGGCCGCCAGGTCAAGCGTCTGTCGCAGGTAGAGATGGAAGAGCGCCGCCGCCTAGGCCTCTGCTTCAACTGCAACAAGAAGTTTGGGCGAGGCCACAACCGTGTCTGCCAACGCATCTTCCTCCTCGATTTGGCAGCGGCCGAGGACGACGACGACTCGGAGACAGATGAGGCCACTCTAGCGGAGCCCCAGATCTCACTCCACGCCATCGCTGGCGTGCCCACCAGCGAGACCATGCAGATGCGTCTCACGATGGGCGGCACCTCCCTCCTCGCCCTGATCGACTCCGGCTCGACCACAACTTCATCACCGAGGAGGCGGCCGTCCGTGCCTCGCTCCCGTCCCTCACCCAGGGACAACTGCGGGTCACAATGGCCAACGGCGAGCGCGTCCGATGTCCCGGCGTGTTCCGCAACGCGCCATTCTTCATCAATGACGAGGAGTTCACCGTGGATTTCTACGCCCTGCCGTTGGTTGGGTACGACGTCGTCCTGGGAACCCAGTGGCTAGCAACGTTGGGCCCGATTCTATGGGATTTCGGCGCCCTCACCATGTCCTTCTGGTGTGGCGGCCGCCAGATGCGCTGGTGCGGCACGGCGGCTCCCATAGGCCCAGCGATCCAGGCCGGCATCGGCGCCGATCTCCTCACCGCCATCCTCGAGGAGTTTGCCCCTGTCTTCGTCGAGCCCTCCGGCATGCCTCCGGCATGCACTCGTGACCACTGCATCAACCTTCTGCCAGGATCCGCCCCGGTGGCTGTCCGGCTGTACCGCTACCCCGCCGCGCACAACGATGAATTGGAGCGCCAATGCACCGTGATGATGGCTCAGGGCATCATTCGCCGTAGTTCCTCGGCATTCTCATCGTCGGTTCTCCTGGTCCGGAAGGCCGATGGCTCCTGGCGATTCTGCGTAGACTATCGTGCCCTGAACGCCATCACAATCAAGGATGCGTTTTCGATTCCGGTGGTCGATGAACTACTGGACGAGCTCCGCCACACCTGCTTCTTCACCAAGCTCGACCTGCGCTTCGGTTACCACCAGGTTCGGATACACGCCGACAACATCGCCAAGACTGCCTTCCGCACCCATGACGGCCTCTACGAATTCCTCGTCGTGCCGTTCGGCCTCTGCAACACGCCGGCAACATTCCAGGCGCTCATGCACGACATTCTGTGCCCCTTCCTATGCCACTTCGTCCTCGTCTTCTTCGACGATATACTCATCTACAGCGAGTCATGGGCCGATCATCTTCGCCACGTGCGCGCCGTCCTCAGC